TATTATCTTGTCAGCTGCAGCCCACATGGCCATGGTCTTGGACTGTTTTGGTTTGGTGCCTGCAGCCTCCCTCAAAGGGCGTTCCACATGCTTGGCATCTCTAATTGTCTTGGGTCTCCACTGCAGCTCTAGCTTCACTCTCTCAGCTTTACACACTGCCCTGTCAGGGACTGCTTGCAAGAACTCTGACCCTACCATATACTTCCTGATTTCTGTATGCTTTTCTTTGAAATCTTGGTGAAAGACTCCCTGACCCTATAACTCTTGCTTTCTAAATACCTGCTCAAACTAACATAGTGGGAATAATGCCTCCATTTGCTACCAGCAACAGGTGTTAGTCAAGCCTACTTGAACCAGGGTTGTAATGCTTTGTCTCTGTATGACTTTATGGCTGGGATGCCCAGGGCCACCTTCTCAAATGAAAGACCTTTAAAAGGAATTTATACCTTTACACACTTGGGTCTTCAATTGATGGGTTCTTGCTGATTCCTGAGATGCCCTTAAGGCATCTTTGTTATTGTACTGATGCAAAATACTTGGCTTCATTATAATGGGTATTAATATCTATACTCACTTGGCCAAAACTGTAAATGCACTTCTTTTCTTGCCAAACTGCAAGTTTTTCCCAAATTTTTTCAGTTTTATTTTGCTCCCAATTTTCATTGTATACTTAGCTAAAAGCAGCCAGTAATAACTATGCTGCTGCATGAATGCTATGCCTCCTTGAAATTTCCTCTGCCACATAAATAAGTCTATCATCTTTAAACTCGGTCTCACACAAAGTCTCAGGGCATAAACAAAATGTGGACAAGTTATTTGCTAGAACATAACATGCACAGTCTGTATTCCGTTTCCCAATAGAGTCTTCATATTCATCTGAACCTCATCAACATAGCCTTTAATGTCCTCATTTCTATCAGTATTCTGGTCTTGGAGCCTCCAGCAGAGTCACCCATTAAGCTCCATTTACAGCACTCTATGATTTTTCTAACACAGCTCTCCAAACTTTCCCAAACTCCTCCTGCAAACCTATTTCAAAAGATTCTGAACACTGCCTATTGGTCACATCAAGGACCCCTCTTGTTAGTACCAAATATCTGTATCACTCAAGTTTGTTGTTACATGATTAAAACACCTGGAAAAATCAACTTATTGAGGAAGAAAGATTTATTTTGGCTCACAGTTTCAAGGATTGTTTTCATGGATGCTTAGTCCAATTGCTTTTGGGCCATTGGCAAGGATCCCACAGCATGGATTGAAGAATCCTGTCCACTTAATGATAGCCTGAAAGAAAACTGAGAGACAGAGGCTGAAGACCAAATATCTCCTTCAAGAGCATAACCCCAATAACCAAACTTCCTTCCACTAGGCCCCATCTCCTAAAGGTGAAATCTCCTTCAGCTTCCACCTCCTTCCAATACTGCCACAGGAATCAACCAAGTCATATCACATCAGCCTTTGGGGAAAACTTCAATTTCTAATTCTAGCGCTTATATTCTTAATTTTCCTTCTTATTATACTATCCAGACCAATTTACCCCCTCAGGTAAAAATTAAGTGAACAAGAATAATATTTAAATCCATATAGAAATATCCCTGTTGAGCTTCAAGACACTATAAGCATTAAGCATTTATGCTTTTAACATTGCATCACCCAAAGTGATATATACACCCAAAGTGATATATACCATACTATACAACTCCTTAAAACTGAATAATTTAATATTTACTGATCATGTGGCAAACAGGTTCCCTTCAAACTCCACAATCCCCTGAGCCTTCTTATTTAATAATTTAAACATTTTATTTTCATTTATGACCCAATTAAAAGTGAATTACACACTGTTAATATGATGTCACTAACTTCTTCATAAAAAGACCACTTTCCTGAGTGGGTGGGTTTGAGTGTGTGCATGTGTGTGTGTGTGTGTGTGTGTGTGTGTGTGTGTGTGTGTCTGCATCTGTGTCTATGTTCAATACATTCTAATAATTACTAAGAGTCTGAACTAATAATAACAAAGAGATGTCTACTCCAAGTTCATTATAATAGTGAAAATTTTAAATTATAATTGATATTGTAAAATGGTTAAATAAATTATTATTTCCAAAATAATTATATGTCATAGCTTTTAATATAATATTTTGCTACTTTGTTATTGTTGTTGCAGTACTATGGAATGAACCCACTGTTGCTCTACCATTGAATATATCCCCAGAACATTGTGTTTTTGAGACAGCGACTTGCTAGGTTGCCCAGGCTGGCCTGAAACTGGCAATCCTTCTGTCTTAGCCACCCAAGTAGCTGGCATTATAGGCATGAACCATGTACTCAGCTAGTAGAAGACATTTTTAGTATGTTTACAGATACATTAAAATTTACTTGAAAGCTGAAAGTAAATATTCAAAGTGTTAATAATATTTGCCTTTGGGAAATGGAATTGTCAAAGATTCTGTTTTTATTAGTAACTACTTATATCTAAACTATCAAACAAAAATGTCTCCTGACTGCAGGCAAAATTTATAAAGTATAAATAATAAAAAAGAATTCTGAATTGAGTTAATTTGAGGATATTAATGCAAACATTATGAAAATTATGATTTGCTATAAATAAATTAAAATAATATAGTGAGAACTACAATTTCAGAGTAATAATTAAGTTAAATATCAATAAATTTTACAAACATGCATGCACACACAGTGCAGAAGTAATGTCTGAGGAACAAATAAAAAGAAAAATGAAATTCAATGTTGAGAAATGGAGGACAAAAAATAGACTAAAGAAAGGAAAAGTAAGCCAATTTTTCAAAGCAGCAGATCTTAGTTTGTACTTTTTGGCTTTTTATCTGCCTCAATAATATTCATAAGAACAATACATTTCCACCACTTAGATATTTCTCATGTTTCTTGTAGGAGAAAAACATAATACTAGTGGGAACGCTTCAAAAATATTGAGATAATAATTTAAGTTAGAACAAGTTATACAAGCAAGAAAATAATAGTTCTGTCTCTCAAATTTAGTAAGTAGATGGTATCTTTGCTGACAATGGGATGTGAGGGGTTCAGGCACTGGAAGCAAGCTCAAAGACCTTGAGGTTGAAGAAATACCTGGTATGTACAAGGAACAAAAATAAGGTTAATATAGCTAAATTGGAGCAAATAAACACAAGAAAAAGATTAGCATCACACAGGGTTTTACTTTGTATGTACTGGGAAAACAATGGAGAGAAAAGAAGAATAACCACATTTGATATGCTAAGTTTTAGGAAGAATATCTTGATATGTGTTGAGAGTTTACTCAAAGGCATGAAATCAGAGTAAAGAAAACAAGTGGCAACTTGCTGTTATAATGCATGATAGTGACATGGCTAGAATGGTGACAGAAGGATTGATAGGAAATAGAATTCTGGACATGTGTTAAGACAAAGCAGAAAAGTTAGTTTTGAACATGTTGAGAGTGAGAAGTCCATTAGGCATCAAAGCAAAGAGATTACTGAGTAAGCAAGTAGATATACTCCTTCCTAAAGATTTAAGAAGAATTTCAAAGTAGACAAGTTTTCCCCAGAACACAGTGAAAGCATAAGTGATTGGATAAAATCATCTAGGATGTGAGTTTAAATAGGAAAAGAAAACCAGATATGACAACTGAGGTCTGAGACATTTTAACACATGAGATAAAGACTAGGAAGGACCAAAAAAGAAAATAAAAAGTAACAGGACTGAAGGAAGAAAATCACAGTACTGTAGTGCATTGGAAGCTAGGAAATGAACAATAACAAAATAAAAAAGGATTTCAAGAAAGAATTATCAATGGTAACAAATGTTAAGTAAAAAGTAAAAAAAAACTAAGTAATGCATAAAGTGTAAATTTTCAAATCATTTAGCAATGGAGCCTGGTGTAGAAACAAAAGCACAGGGGGTAACTTCATCATATAAAATAAAAAGATAGAACTGCTTTAACTGAAGCAGACAGATAGGCTCTACCCTCCCGTTCAGTATCATTTATGTCCTTGGGAAAACTTGAATACAACACAGAATATTACTAAAAACCACTGTATGAAAATATCATTTAAAATTATGTTTAAGAAAACAAACAACAACAAAATAATAAAATAAAAATGTGTTTAATGTTACATAATGAAATTACTTATTCTGTGTTAATTATAGAGATTAGGTTTTCATCATGCTAAAAAAAAAAAAAGATCCAATTTATAGAAACAAAATGGATTTTATTAGTTAAACTCTTAAAATGTCACCAGCTTCAAATATTAAAGGAAATAACATTGCTCTCATAGTGTTAATCCATATATAAACTATTCATATAAATAATTTAGCCAATTATGCAAAATATATGAGAGAAAACAATAATTTTTTGAAACTTACTGCTGCTGACTCAGTTATCCTAACTAAATAGCTGCATACACCTACTTAAGGGGCTCCTGAAACAACAGTAAAGTGAAATGACTACTAAAAGAAACATACAAAATAAAGAGGAAAAATCCTTGAAAATTATTGATCCTGAAGATCTCATCAGCATTCCCCTTTGTGTTTGTGCAGATCTGCCAATAACATACTGTACAAATTTTATTATAAAAGTCTGTCATAGATCATAAACTAGAATAACATTTGATTAATTTCTCATAGCAGAATACTGAGTAGTTCTACTCCCCAAATCCTTTCCAGTTTAGGGTTTATACCCCTACAAGTTTCATAGTATATGTCGAAATTTATAAATACAATAAGCTATGGAATAAAGCTATATCTACATTATAAATAATTCCGTTCTAATTACCATGAACAAACTGACAAAATACTAAATATTACCCAGTTGAACTTCACGTATTTCATTGTGAATATGGAAAAGAAAAAAATACATATAAAAGGGAGTAATACAGAAATGCTAAATTTAAAAAAATGCTAAATTTAAAAAAAATTTTTAAAGTAATGCATTTCCCCATGTTCATATCTATAAATTTATATTTTATAACTAAATAAAAGCATACTTTTTGGTATGATATACTTTCAGCTGTATGGGCATCTTCCTGATTTTTCAGTACTTTTTGTGTGTCCATATTGAGAACCTGAAGCTGCTGGATCAGCTCTGCTTGCTGTGCTGTATGTGCACTGTTCTGTTTGTAAAGATTTTGCAGCTCCTGCAATTCTTTCCTGTGCAAAGCAAGCAATAAACAGAAAGAAGCACGAATAAAAATCATCTCAGTTAAATAATTGTGTCCATCTAAGGTTATAGATCAGCTTCCTATTTTTCATCTATTATTTTTTACTGAAGGCAAACTTATTAATAAAAGAAATTATATATAAAGTATTTAATATTTATCACATACACCTAGAAAGTATTGATAGAACTACTATAACTTTCAAAGGCAAATACTTATCAATTCTCTTTTATAGCTTAATAGCAATAAAAATCCTGGATATATAGTCATAGAACCACCTTCTTACTGAAATTAAGTTAACACTTCAGTTCCAAAAATTGGTAAATACTATTGTCAACTGTAGTTATCATATAGTTTTGAAGAAACAGTAACCCAACCATCCATTTTATATTATACAAAAATTTAATATATTTTTTAAATCCCCCCCCAAAATAGCTTTCATTTTCAAACAAGAGTTCCTTAAACAACACTGTCAGTTCTAGTTTCTAATCTCAGGGGCCTGGCTGGGATTCCTATGATTCCTCTAATCCAATTTGAAGAAGATAATGAGACAAGAAAGTCAGAACAAACAAAAGCAAGACAAGGGAAAACTAGTCCTTCCAAGTCACTAAGGTAAAACTGGTAAGCAGGAGGACAAATAAACTAGTGGTGGTAATGATGGCACAAAAGGTCCAGGAGAACCATATCTCCAGTATAAACATTTCCAGAGAATTCTGGGGTAGTTAATACTGTGTGATACAGCTCATACAAAATTGAAAATTATTTTATGTATTCAATCTGAAGAGAGAAATTTTTAGATATATATTTCATCAAAATACACTTTATATTATATATTATATATTTTGGAGATTGGGGTATTTTTTCTTTTTTTATAGAGATGATAAATAGTATGCGTGTTAAAGACTCTAATGCTTGAAGTGGAAACAAGAGGATAAGATGGAAGCTGAAAGGAACACATAGACCACATCAAGAACTTTGGACTTCCATAAAGTAAAGATTTAGGGTGTGTAAAGGAAGACAGGGGAAAACAAGGTACATTTTCATTTTATATTTTCCCATTTTTTATTGGTACATTATAGTTCTATATAATGGGGGATTCAATGTTAGAAGTTTACACATACACACAATAGAACTATTTAATTGGACTAATATCATCTCCAGTATTTCTCCTTTCCCTCTCCTCCTGCCTCCCCCTGGTCATATTACTCTATTTTCTCCCCTCAATTTTCATGAGATTCCTCCCCACACCCAACATCATTCTTTTCTTTTTTCCTGTTTGACTCCATATATGAGGAGAAACATACAACCCCCGACTTTCTGAGTTTTCCCTATTTTGCTTGGTTTCAAGTTCCATCCATTTTCTAGCAGATGACATAATTCATTCTTCTTTATGGTTCAATAAAACATACCCCATCTTTATCCTTTCATTCCTTGATGAGTATTTAGTCTGATTCCATAGTTTGACTATAATGATTTGTGCTGCTCTCAATGTGTATGCATGTAGCACTAAACGATGCTGACAGTGATTCTTTAGGATAAATACTGAGGAGTGGTATAGCTGAGGCATACAGGGGTTCCATTCCTATTCTTTTGAGGAACCTCCATACTGATATCCAAAATGGATAAACTAATTTACAATCCCACCAACAGTGTAAATGTGTTCCTTTTTCTCCACATGCTCTCCAGAATTTATTGTTGTGGGGTTTTTTTGTTTATCTGTTTTGGTTTGGTTTTGGTTTTGTTTGTTTGCTTTTTTCAGCTCTGGGTATTGAACCCACAGTATCATGCCTATTAGGCAAGCACTCTACCATTGAACTATATCCCCAGTCCTATTGTTTGTAACCTTGATGGTTGACATTCTGACTGCAATGAGATGGAATCTCAATGTAATTTTATTTTGCATTTCGCTAATTGCTAACAATGTTGAACATTTTTTTTCATATTTGTTGGCCATTTGTATTTATTTTGAGAAATGTCTGTTTAATTTGTCCATTTATTAACTGGATTATTGGTAGGGTTTTTTTGGGGGGGATGCAGGGGGTTCTTAAGTTCTTTGAGTTCTGTATATATTCTGCATATTAATCCTGGAGGAAGAGTAGCCAGCAATGATTTTTTTCCTATTATGTAAGTTCTCTTTTCACATTCTTAATTGTTTATTTTGCTTGTGGAAGCTTTTAGTTTGATGCCACTCCATTTATTAACTCTTGGTATTATTTCCTAAGCTTTGGGGGGGCCTTTTGAGAAAGTGGAGCTCTATACCTATATGTTGGAGTGTTAATCCTACATTTTCTCCTAGGAGTTGCACAGTTTCTGGTCTAATTTTGAGGCCTTTGATCCACTTTGAGCTGACTTTTGTGTAGGGTGAGAGATAAAAATCTAGTCTCTCATTCTTTATATAAGGATAACCAGTTTTCTCAGCACCAATTATTTAAAAGGCTGATTTTTATTCAATGTATGTTTTAGACACCTTTGTCAAGGATCACATAACTGTATCTTCTTGGTTTCTCTCTGTGTCTTCTATTCTGTGTATTTGGTCTGTTATCTATCTATGTCAGTACCATGCAGTTTTTGTGATTATGTCTCTGTAGTATAATTTTAAGCCAGCTACTATGATGGCTGTAGCATTGCTTTTATTGGCACAGAATTGCTTTGCCTATTTGACTCTTTCATTCTTCCAAATGAATTTTAAGACTTTTTTTTCCAGTTCTATCAAGAATGTCATAGGTAATTTGATAAGAGATTATACTGAATCTGTATATTACTTTTGAAAATCTTTGTGTCTTCTTTGACTTCTTTCTTGAAAGTTTTGTAGTTTTCATTGCAGAAGTCTTCTTACCTCCTTTTTTATTTAGATTTAAATAAATCTAAATAAATTTATTTAGATTTATTCCTAGAGATGTTTTCTTGCTATTGCTGCTGTTGAGATTGAGGATTCTGTTGTTGTTTTCTCTTGTTTTTGAGGCTACTATGAAAGAAAGTGTTTTCCTGATTACCTTCACAGAATTACCACTGGTGTATAAGAAAACTATTTTGATTTTGTAAACTGATAGTTCGTAGAATTTGTTTATTAACTCTGGCAATTTTCTGGTGGAACTTTTTTAATCTTCTATGTACAGGATCATATTTTCCAAAACAATGATATTTTGACTTAATCCTTTCTCATTTTTGTCCCTATTATTTCCTTCTCTTGCCTGATTACCCTGGCTAGAATTTCTGGTACTATATTGAATAGGAGGTGAACAGTTTTCTCTTGTTCTGGGTTTTAAAGAAAATGTTTTCAGTTCTTACTCATATGTTTTCAGCTTTTCAATATGAGGTGGGTTTGGGGTTTGATGCTGAGGTATGTTCCTTTTATCCCTTGTTTATTCTGTGTCTTTATCATGAATAGATGCTGAATTTTGTTCAAGGATTTCTCTGTATAGAGACTGTTATTTTTTACATGGTATTTTTCTCTGTGCCAGTAACTTCAAACTGGTGATTCATTTACATAAAAAATCTTAAATGAACAAAATAAATCCTCAGACAGTTGTTGAAAATGAGTAGAAAATAATACAGGAGAAATAAGCTCTACTTTTTAGGTGTTTAGGACATTTAATATTCTCTAACCACAACCACATCCCCTGTTCCCATACATATTTGCATAAACCATCTTTTGCAACTATTTAAAAATAGTCACTTGCACAAAATAATAGTCCAAATATGGGGGAGGGGAAAGAAGAGAACCAATAATGGCACGATCCTCCCAGGGAATGTGATTCAAGAAGAGAGGAAAAGAAATTCACAGCAATAATCCATGCTACATACTGCCATTATCCATGAATGAAATTGGAAAAAAAATGACCAAAGGATATAAGCAATAGAACATCTATCAGAGAATAGTGAAGATATATGTTAAGGAGGAGAACTAACTAAATGCATTAGGAAAAAAGACATGATGAAGGTAAAGGACATCATCTTTCAATATAATGTAAAAGACAAAATTCATTTTTGCTCCAATGTTAGAAGATATTTACTATTTCTTAGAGGTTCGGAATCAGTAGGGTTAGATTTATTTACATTACAAATCAAGTGCAACAAAACATATGTATCTTTAATCATAAGAAACATATTCAAGAATAGGAAGATGCTTGTACTATTATGAGGCACTTGAGGATTAATAACTCAACTGAAGGAAGACCATATTTTCATCTCATAACTCATGCAATTTTCTGGGCATACTCTCAGTAAGTAGAATAGAAGCATAATTTATGTATATATTTCTTTTAATCCCTATGCTACCCTATGGAATATAGATGGGATGAGGGCACACTGATGCGGAAATATAAAAAGTAGAATTTGATTAGTATCAAAGGAGGCAACAAACAAGTTTTACAAAACTCATACATCTGGACCACTTGAAAACAATGAATTTATCTAGATCTCTCCTCATTTGAAAACAAATTTAAAAAAGCAAATAGTACAGATGGGTAATTAATATTAAGAAAAACTAATTGTGCATAATAAAAGGAAAAGTATAGTCCTGGAGAGGAACAGCTGAAGAAATTAGAAAAAAAAATATGGGGAAAAAAAGTCATTACATCTATCTGAAACATCAGTTAGATGTCAAGATGTAAGGGCATATCTGAGAGCAGGGAATCTTTCTCATTGCTACCAAGTACTTAAGATAGTTTTCCTCTCTCTTATTAAATATTTGTTTTATCAGACACATATTATGTATCTATTTGCTTTCACTTCACCTAGTTCTTAGACTTTCCCTTTTTCTGCCTCAACCTATGAATTACCATTCTTGTTTGCGAAATTTACACAATTAATGTGGCTCATCACTTGAGGATAAACAGTATGCTGCACGCTTAGTCTCTTTATACAAGTTCCAGACTCTGATAAAATGCTATCAGGCCTTGGTAGCGTGAACTCTGACCAATGGAAAATGAAACACAAAAGGAACCAGTGGTCAGATAAATTATCTTCTTCCATCTGACATATTGCTCTAGGGCCTAGTTTCTCTCTACAGAATCAAGCTGGGTGGCTAATTCAGTATACCTGAGCTTATCAATAAAAAGTAGACAACAAAATAATGCATCATGTTTACTTTTTATCTCTTCATGCCTAAAATTCTTGCTCTTTCAATCACTTTGATGGTAACTGAAGCTCCCAAGTAAATAATGGATACTTAATTCCTAACTGAGGTTCTATTTTCTAGGATATCTGAAAACATCCATCTGTTGAATGTGTGAAATGAAAAAGACAAAATAAAGAAGGATAGTTAAAAAGAAAAAAAAGATGCCATCATGGCATTAAAATCCATAATGAGAGCAGTTATAAGCAAAATCAAAAATATGGAAAATAAAATGAATTCTTTTAGGTTCAAAGGCCTGAGAAAAACAAGGAAAAAATGAATCAAAATCAATAAGAAAAAAGAAGTGATAAAGTTCAGAGCTGAAATTAATGCAATAGAGAGTAAAAGGACAATACAAGGAATCAATGAAACAAAGAGTTAGTTCTTTGAAAAAATAAATGACATTGATAAACCCTTAGGCAAACAAAAAGAAAAAAAGAGACAACCCAAACTAATAAAATTAGAAAAGAAAAAAGAACAATAGATATTATGAAACATGAACCAAGATGATATAAAAAGCCTCAATAGCTCCATAACAATTAATATAATTAAAGCAATAGTAAAAATCTCCCAATGAAGGACCAAGACCAGATGGATTCACAGATGAATTTTACCAGATCTTTGAAGAACTGATATCAATGTTCCTTAAATTATTTTATGAAATAGGAAGGGAAGGAACTCTTCCAAACTCACTCTACAAAGCTAGCATTATTCTGTTATCAAAACTTGATATGGACATAACAAATAAAGAAAATCATAGACCCATCTCCTTGATGAGCACAGATACAAAATCCTCAATAAAATAGTGAAAATCAAATTCAACATCACATTTAAAAAAATCATACACCATAATCAAATTGGTTTCAATCCAGGGAATGAAAGGTTTTTTCAATATATGCAAATAAATAAATGCAATATATGACATAAATAGAATCAAAGATAGAAATCACATAATCATCTGAATAAGTGCGCAAAAATACCTTCAATGAAATTCAACATCCCTTCATGATTTTTAAAAAAAAAACAGTCAAATGTGGTGGTACACACTTGTAATCTCAGTAGCTTTCGAGGCTGAGTTGGGAGGATTTAGAGTTCAAAGCCAGCTTCAACAACTTAGGGAAACTCCTAAGCAACTGAGTGAGGCTCTGTCTCAAAATAAAAATATATATAAAAAGGGCTGGGGATGTAGCCCAGTGATTAAGTGCTCCTAGGTTCAATACCTGGTAAAAAAGAAAAAAATATAGCCATAGAAGAATTCTACCTCAACATAATAAATGGTACATAAGAACAATCCATAGCCAACATCAGACTGAATGGGACAAAATTGAAAGCATTTCCTTTAAACTAAGGAACAAAACAAGTGTATTCATGCTTACCATTTTTATTAATTCGAGCATTTTGGCAAGGGAAATAAATAGATACAAATAATAAGAGAGGAAGTCAAATCACCCCCATTTGCAGATCATAATTATTCTTGGTATGGTTTAAATGTAAGGTGTCTCCAAAATGTCCGTGTAAAGCAGGAATAGTCAAGTAAAATTAAGGGATATGAGAGCTATAACTTTATCAGTCCATCCTACTACAAATGGACTGACAGGATTGTAACTGTAGAAAGGTGGGCATGACTGAAGGAGATGGGTCACTGGGTTTGTGCCTTAGAAGGTTATATCTTGCCTGTGGCCCCTTATCCCTACCACCCTGCTTCCTAACCCTGAAATGAGCTAAACAGCCTCACCTGGAACCATGAAAAATAGAGATGGTTATCTATGGACTTAAACTTCTAATAATGTGAATCTCTTTCTATAAGTTGTTCTTGTTAGGTATTTTGGTCACAGTGATGTAGAAGTTAACTAAAAAAAAATTATATGCCTAGAAAATCCTTAGTAATTAGCCAAAGTCTCTTAGAACTGATACATAAACACAGCAAAGTAGCAGGATACAAAATAAATCTACAAAAATCTGTAGCTTTCCTATACATCAACAATGAACTCAGGAGAACAATGTCATTCACAAAAATAAAGAAAATACCAAGAAATAAACTTAACCAAAGAGGTGAAATACCTTTACAATGAAAAGCATAAAACACTTAGGAAAGAAAGTGAAGAATATACTAGAAGACAGAAAGATATTCTATATTCATTGACTGAAAGAATTAATCTTGTTAAAATGGCCTTACTACTAAAAGAAATTTATAGAATATATGCAATCCACATCAAAATACCGTTAGCAATCTTCCCAGGAATAGAAAAAAATCCTAAAACCCATATGTAAGCATAAAAGACCCCAAATTGATGAAACAATTCTGAGAGAAAGAAAAATGCTGGAGGCATCACAATTTCCAAACTCAAAATATACTATAGTGCCATTGTAACAAAGACAGTATGGTACTAGCATGAAAATAAACCCACAGATCAATGGAATAAAATAGAGAAATCAGGAATAAACCTATGCACCTATGGTCACCTGATTCTTGACAAAGGAGCCAAAAGCATATGTTGAAGAAAAGACAGTGTCTCCCACAAATAGTGCTGAGGAAACTGGATACTGACATGTGGAAGATTGAAATCAGATCCCTATCTCTCTCCCTATATAAAAAATAATAATCTCAAAATGGATCAAAGACCTCATGCTAAAAACCTCAAACTACTAGAGGAAAACATATAAGAACATATAAGCAACAATTTCTTGAATAGGACTTCAATAGCTCAGGAATAGCTAAAATTGACAAATGGAATTATATCAAAATTATATACCCTCTGCAAGTAAAGGGGAAAAAAAACAGAATAAAGAGATAGCCTGAAAGAACCTCTGCCAACTATTCATTTGACAAAGAATTAATCTCTCACACAAGAATCTACTTCTCAGTGCAATATGGCAACAATTTCTTTTCTTCTGGCCTAAGGGTGGTAATAGTATCATGTCCCTGATAATCTATGGTTGGTATTATTTTGAATCTGATATCTGGAGAGAACAGATATCATCATCATAATGAGTCTTCCAAACCATAAACTTGGTATATCTCTGCACAGATATTGGACCTTTTATTTATCTCAATAACATTATAGTTCTCTTTATAGGGATCATATACATCTTTAATTATATTTACTGTTCATATTTTAGATATATTATAAACTGAATTATTTTAAAATTAATTTCCTAATTGTTTTGCTAGTATAAAAATGAAATTGAATTTTAAACACTAACCTTGTATCTACCAAACATGCAAAACTCATTAATTTAAACAATGAAATTTTCTATATAAATTTATATTTTTGACAAATAATTAGGTCGAAATTTTTCCTTTGGTTTTAGTTCCTATATCTTTGAATATTTACTCTTTCCTTACTGCATACTCGTTACTCAAGACTACATGATACCCATTATTTTGCAAAACTATAGATAAAATTTAGGATCCGAATTGTTCTGTTCATCCTCCAGAGGTAATTTACACTTGCTTTTGCTAAATGCCTAGGAAAAGTAGCAATCCAACTGAATTCAATTTCAGGATTCTGACTTAAGCATTTTCTAAACCAAAATTAAGACTATACCATCAAGACTTACTTTTTGGTCAGATTCACAACCAATTTCCAACAAAATTTTCACCTCAATTATCAAATCATTACCTATTAAGCCAAGTTTTGTTTAGACAACTGGCTAATATTTTTATACCCAACTTCTCAGTAAACATGTTTAAATATTCAGTATGTATTAGAGATAAGTAATTATTATATGAGCATACAGACTTAAAATATACTTTAACTTTGAATAAAATATACTTGAGGTAGTTCACTACAATAACTCATAATACAAAAAATAACATGAATTAAATATTCAATAAAATATATAAATAATTATGAATCCCCCCAAAATCAATCCATATAGAAATAGAACTAAGTCATCCTCATTGTTTATCAAAAAAGCATATCCAAATAAGGGAGTGCCTAGGACATTTTTCCACAATCCTGGCTTTGTGTGTCTTGAATATAGCACACAGCTCATGTTTGTATGTCATAAACAACATAACAGTATACTTAAATGTACAAAACTATATTTCACCAAATGGAACTATAAAAAGTACCAGCATACAGCACTAACTAACTTAACCTTCTTATCAATACCCACTAAAATGAAAGAAAATTCACAACTTAAAGTTACTGAAACAATAACTCTATCCAAATATATACCAGAATGGTAGTCACTTTCACCATCTCATATAAAAACTTTTTATTTAAACAATTAACTTTATCATTTACCATTATAAACAAACCTTCAGTGTCATGCGATGGTCTGTTATCCAAGCAAAAATCCTGTCCTGATCTATAATCTGACACTATTTTCTAGTCAAGGCAATTATGAAGTAAAGAAACAGGTAGAATTAACATGTTTCAAAACACTTTAAAAAAACAAGTATAGCATGTTTACCTTTTCAAGTGTTTCCACTTTATGTGTAATACTAAAAAATTAAAAATGTTGATGTAGAAAGAATATTTCACGAAGTAGAACTATATAGGACATGATAAAATAAAAATTAAAAATTCTGTTTCTCATTTATTATTGTTGATTACAACAATGATTATCATTTAACACATGGCCAGGAACTTGAATAAACAATGAAAAAATGCATGGTCCTTAAAAACTGAAGTAAGGGTACTCCTTGCCTATGCATTCTTAATCCTGTGAGCCCTACTTATTCTCCTACAAAACTATTCCCAGTTTAGTGTACATAATTCCAGTTTTTCAATGCAGAAACACATGTACCTATAGAAGACGTATTTTGTCATTTTTATGGGTGTTCATAATAAGCATAAATGATATCATACCAAATGACTAATGGCATTTCAATAATGTTAAATCGAAAACAGAATATACTTGCCTGACCAGGGTAATATCCATATCCTTTTGAAGAAGTTCAGTCTGTTTATTATTCAACTGTATTGATAGAGCATTATATTTACTTTGTGATACTTCAATTTCTTTCTTTGCTTCAATTAAATTTTCTTCAAAGGCCTAAAATTAAAGCACTTATAATCAAATATAATAAACATGCAATGTAACAACATTTTTTATATTTATACTACAAAATGACAGAAAATCTTGTAGTGTTTTAATATAATTTAAAAATTTTAACACAACTGTTACACTAGTCAGATTTTTCTTCAGAAAGAAACACTATATCTTACCTTCTTGATATGAAGATTAAGAATTTGAAACAAAAACTTAAGAAACTGAATATTTAGTTATTAAAATTATAATATATTATTTAATGAAGAAGTTTATTAAAGGAAAAATGAACTTAAATTATTTAAAAATTAGTCAAAAATGGTAGTTGTCTCCTTATTTTTTTGTTTCCTTGTTTTAAATGTATACACAAATATACTCAGAGAAAAAAGGATAGGACAACAAAGAAAACAAAATCATTTTCTAATGTTTGAGACTCAGACCATGTTTTTCTCCTGATTTATGGTAAAATTTCACCTGAATTTCTTCAAATTTGACCATTTCCATCTGATCATTCTCTTAAATCTTTTCTACATTTTGAAACAATTTCAAAACTTGATTTTTAATATATAAATTAATTTCATTGTTCTGAAGAATAACTTAAAGTTTATTTCTAAATATAGTATGCCAACAGACAAATCATCCAATCATTATTTTCAAAAGTAAGCAACAGGCTTTAGGTTAAGCACTAGAAACTCCCATTTATTCACAAAAATGAAATGACAGATACATAAGTAGGTAGATAAATGGAGGAAGGAAGAAAGGGAGGAAGGAAGAAGGGTGGAGGAAAGTATGTAGGTAGATTTGTTTGGGTGGGGGAGTTGTGGTTCTTAAGGGAGAAGAAAAGCTTAAAACACTGAAAAATAAAAGAAACTATACTATTAGTCCTCATATGGAATAGCAAGAGCTAAGAAAATGCCTTTCTCTCTATGCCCTTCTTACATTTTAGAGGTGGCTCAATGTTTAACCACTGAGAAGTGATTAGGACTAAATGAAGTAACGTGTTTGGCATGGAAGAATTCAGACTTATAAATAAAAATGGGAACTACAGAAATGGTTCTTACACTCAAAAACAAATTAAAAAAAAAATTCTGTGACTGTGTCCTAGAGACACAGAAGAAAAATTTTAAACCACCACACACAGGTTCTAGGCAAAGCTACCTGTATCAGGATTTATTCTGAATTATGTCAAATAACAGAGAGGGAAAGGAGTCCCCAGACAATGGAAAAGTACCCTAGAGTGCCAGAAACCTCAACACTGCCTAAAAGGGACAATGGGGAAAGAAAGGGATATTAACATATTCCCACTCAAGATGAACTCAAAGAAAATCTAAACTTCTAAAGGAGGATCAACAAAGTGAACACTAGATAAAAGTTTTTAAAAATCTTTGCCAAATTTATTGCTATAACAAGAATAAGCATACAGACTAAATAAACATAAAACAGACTACACAACCAGACCAAATAATATAAACTGAAATTTGATAGAAGATGGAAGTGTCTTTCTAAATCCTTGGGGGAAAGCTAGTCTATTAAATTAAGGCCATAAAACTATTCTGATTAAACTGAAACCTTTTTGACATAGACCCCAAAACATCTTCCATATTTCCATATTTCTCTTCATTACAAATATTAGTATATGACAAAGCTTGCCATTTTGTTGTTTATGTGTTTATTTTAGACCACTTGTTGTTTAGAATATAAGTTCCATAAAAGCTGAAATTTTTATACTGTTTCTTAGTTGCTTTTCAATACCAGACACAGAATAAATGGATATATTCAATAAATCCTTATTAAATGAGGAGATTCGTAACATTATCTTCCCTGGATTTATACTAATACCTCTAGGCCCTGTTCCCTCATTTCAAAAGAGTAACACACTTCCTCCAAATTTCTTCCAGTCAACAATTTCGTAAGATGTAAGGCCTAATCACAAGAAAAATAACTTACTGCAACATCAGCCTAAACCAAACTTCACTAAACTTATAGCAGGAACTGTCATTTTTTGCCTTTTCCCCATAAAATGCCATTCTTTCCCCAAGTTTGAGAAGACACTCCCATTGCAGTTCTTCCTGTTGTAACAACCTAATACAGTACTTATTTGTTTGGTTTTTATTTTATTTTCTTTTGGATTTTTTTTTAATTTGACATTTTAGTGTTGTAACTCAGAGAGGGTGTGGACAGAATTAAAGATGTCTCATTGTTAAATAGGTAAACTGAGTATCAAGGAATACTTGTTTCTACCCTATCTGTGGAGATTAAAGCTACGTAGATGAGTAAGTCTTGCTCAAGGTCCTGTTTTCTGAAATATTTCTTAAGCATGAATGGTAACTTAATTTCTGGTTTAAGATCCATCATCAGTTCCAGTGAATCTCTGGCTTTTATTTTCCTTTGGTGACTTTCCATGAGAGAGAATAATTAGGTGATTATATCTGATAGAATGCTTTCTCTTAAATTCTCAGAACCCACTATTACAACAAACGGCCCCTTTTTGTAAACCTGAAATAATTTAGAAATACAACAGCATCTCGGTCTTGTGGAACAAGTTTAAACCACACAGTAAACAGCACTGTAGAACACAATCCTCTAACGAATTAGAAGGCCTTTGAGGAATACAGCAACACTCGAAACCCAGTGACTTCTTTTAACCAGCTCTAACAATAGATAAAAACACTTTTCTACTGAATAAAGGTGAAACCTATAGACTTTATATATTATCACTTATATTATTCAGGACCAAAGAATACAATAGCAGTAGCAATATCTAATAATTACATAAATGCCCCTCTTGCCAACTACCCATTCACATTTGACTATAACTTTGGGGGTTTTAACAAGTCATGAATCACTCCAATTCAGACCATTCAAATTAACATAATACAAAGATATCTCCTCTACAAATTAGTTTTCCTACATTTAAAGTCTTCACTTCTCCTCATGGAAAAAGTAATGAGATTTTTAAGTAATAATCCCCGTTTATTCAACTCCCTTTCATCTTGACTACTACCCCCAAAGTTTGAAAATTATAAGAAAATTTTGTTCAGAAAGGGTGATTCTTTCTTTAATTTAAATATTTGGAACTTACAGACCAGATAAATCATTAAACATCTAAGATTAAGTAAAAAGATTATATTGCTTTTATTTCACTTGAAAAAAAAAAACACATGTGTCAAGGTTCTACTTCCAAAATGATGTAGCTTCAAAATGTATAACCTTGGGGCTGAGGATGTGGTTCAAGCAGTAGCGCGCTCGCCTGGTATTCGTGCGGCCCAGGTTTGATCCTCAGCACCACATACAAACAAAGATGTTGTCCACCGAAAACTAAAAAAGAATATTAAAATTCT